GGCTTTAGATTCTCAGTGCTGGGCTTTAACCCGCTGCGCCACCAGGGAGGGCCGAGTAGTTTTATTTTTTAAAGCAAATATGTGGCATTCCCAAAGTTTTATAATAGCCAGTTTCATATAATTGATATTTTAAGAATATTTATTTGGAGTAGTTAGAATATAGAGGAGTCAGGGAGACCAGTTAGAAGCTCACTGCTACATCTAGGCTGGAGGGCATGCTACGACCTCTGGGTCTCCAGTGCACCCCTGGCTGGTGAGGCGTGAGGAGTAATGGGAGTGGATTGACGGGGGCCTGTTTTTTTTCATTCCTTCAGAGTTTGAAATGAATTGTTGAAAAAAGCTTCTCCTATTGAGCTCTCCTCAGTGGAATCCTAATTTCAAGGGTGGTGAAGTCAGAAGACAAAAAAAGAAGGCAAAACAAAATGCCTGTCCTTAGATGGGCAAGTGGGGTTAGGGGAAGAAAGGGGAGATCTCCAACACTCAGGTCTCCAGACAGTACCTGAACGCAGATCATTTGCTCTGAAGCCAGGCAGAAAATAACAACCAGAGAACTGTAAGAAACCTTGGAGTTGCCTGGAATGAGCAGGTCTAAGCCAAAATGGTGAACTGAGTTTGTTTTTGCCTATGTATATCTTCTGTATCCATTTCCCCCACTAAATTCCTTACACTATACCAAATTTCCTGCAGTGACATGACTAGCTTTTTAAAAATCAGGAAATTTTTTTAAAAGCTCATTATATTTAGGGAGTTACTGCTCTTCATATTACTGCAGATCATAGTGGGAGACAGATGACTTAGCGCTGGGCAAAAACCACTGACAGTTATTTCTCCACAATTATTTAGGAGTAATAAGCTTAATTATTCTCTTTCTCAAACTTTGAAACTGAGGTTAGTATTTACTGTACCAACTTCCTTACCTGGCAAACATCCCTTCTCAGACACAACAGAAAAGTAGTGCATAATACTTTGATGATCTTCCATTCTGCAAATGTACCCCAAGGAATAAAATCTGAAGGAAATTCTGCCATGGTAAGATGAGAATGACATATAATAATAGCTTAAAGTGTACACCAGTGATATTTCATAATAGATTTATTTCATGTTTAGTAAATATCTAGTCTCTATTGTTTATCAGGAATGTTTCCAGGTTCTATGATTATTATAATAGAAAAGTTGTAGTCCAACCTCCTATGAAGTTTCCATGTTTGTTGGAGCAACAGATATGAGACAAAGGCTGAATAAGCTGACTTCATAGTATAAAGTGGGGTGTAAGTAATAAAACACTGTGAGAAGGAATAACTGGGTGGGCAAGATTGATAGCTGGCCAGGGGGAACCTCTAGGAAGAAATCATCTGAGCAGACACTTGCATGGTAAGGGTGCAGCCATTATGAGAAATTCTGGGGGTTTCAGGCTAAGGCAAAGCCAAGGTAAGGCCCTTAGGGGGATCAAGTCTGACATGTTCTTGGAACAGAAGTCACATGGCCTGTGTGTAGCTTGGAACAGGGTGAAGGTGCCTGCACCCAGATTCTGAGGAGCCTCAAGTCCATGTTGGCTTTTAGGTTAAACTCAGGGACTTTTGGGGAATACAAAGCAAAAGAATGGTAGGCTGTAAATTGCACACTGAAGCAGTCATTTTGGTTTCCCTGTGAGAACTGGATTATTGCCTGTCAGGATAGAAGCAGGGAGCCACTTGGGATTGTTGGTATAACTCAAGCAAGGGATGAAGGGTGGCTGATAATAGTGACAATTGAGAAAAATGAGTAGATATGAAATATAGTTTATAGTTACGGTTAAAAGTTGATGAGGAAGCAGCAATATTGCTCAGGATATCGGTCCTTTCCTTTTTTCAATTCATTGAAATGAATGCTTTTAGGGCACATAAACTAATCTACCTGTTTGACTTAATCAAAATGTGGTAAGAGCTGTTTTAGCTCTTCTATTTATTGGAATTTGCCAATAAAGGATATTCAGTATATTTGGAATGATAATTGTTATATTTGGAATCCTTTTAAAGTATTATGATATTATAAATCGTATGCAACAGAATTTACAGTGTCAAAATCCTACAAAACCAACTAACTGTGTCTTGGATAATTTCATCAGTATTTTTTGGCTAATCAGAATATTTTTCACCTCAATTAAAGCAGTTAATTATGTTCAATATTAAGATTCTTTATATTACTATTCCTTTATAAGTATGAATAGAATTAATGGCATTATTTTAATTTTAAAGAAAGATAAGATGCTAAAATAACAAAATGTTGACAGTAATTGTCTATGGATGATGGAATAATGTTTGGTTTGCTTCTTCTTTTTTCCTTTCTGTAATTTCCAAATTCCCTAGAATGACATGAATTACTTTTTAAAGTTATAAATTTTAATAAAAAATGTATTTAGAAATTCACTCCTCTCTATATTACCACAGTTCAGGGTTGGAAACTACAACAAATGATACAGCTATAGGCTAAGTTTAATTTTTTTTTTCCTTCATAAAAAATAGATTTACCGGAAAATTCCAGGATTTTCACGCATGATTAAGGATGCCCTGAAAGATGACAACATAGTCTTCCCTAATGATGAAAAGTAAGATAATAATGAAAAGATATTCTTTATTACTCTGTCTGAGGATCTGGTGGGTAATTATCACTCTTGGATGGAGATATGAGCAGTGGATAGCATTCTTAGATGGGCTCTAGCATTTGGAGTAAGGTATCTAAGAATTTTCATGTCTAATCTGATAAGCATTTTAATAATTTTTCTTAAGTTACAAAGGAAGTTGTAGATTTAGGACCTTTTAAAGTTCCTCTAAGGTCTAGCTTGACATTCCCTGGGAATCTCTGACTTCTCGACCTCATTCCCCATGTAGTCAAGTCTACTAATCTGACTACAAATCCAATAAATGGAATTTGGCTAGTTAGCCTCTTACCATTGTAGAATCTTAAGAGTGCTCTCTCAAATACGCTGCTATCAGTGTTTGTTTTTTTTTCTTTTTTTCCCCATTTCAGCACAGTGGAGGGGTCTAACAATCTCAGTAATAACGGCATGCCACTGTGTTAGGGATGGATGGGTGTCAGATGTTTTGGGGGGCAGGGAACTGTTTCAGAAAGTTCTGATAGTGGGAACAAGTCATTCTACATGCTATAGGCTTTTTGAATTACCAAACTAGCAGTTTGATCCGGAAGCTAATCAAATGTATTAATTGCATGCCCATTATATACATTGATGGGGGAAAAGTAAACACATTGCTATCAAGAGCTACTTTTGGTCCCACGGTTACTCTTGTTTTGGAATTATAGATTATTTTGTGTTCTTTTGTAGTTTTTTTTTTTTTTTATTTATTTATTTGTGCATACAGAACTGGGGTACAGGCCAGAGGCTCAGGGGCGCCGAGAGGCTTCACCAGAGACAGAGTGGGGAGCAGAACAGGCAGATCTACGAAGTACACTACTAAGGGGAGCAGCAGGCGTGCCAGGAGAGGTCTGCCACGCCATGTGGTCACCTCCGGGGCAGGCGGGGATCAAACTCATGTGGAAGTGGCTTTAGCTTCTTAGTGCAGTGCTTTAACCTGCTAGTTTTTAAAGGAATATTCAGATATTGAGAAATAAGGTGGAAAAGGTAGGACTCTAACTGTAAAAATTCAGTGTTTCAATGTTTTCCTTTATTATTTGAAAACATCAGATAGAACTGAATTGTATGAGTAAACAGAAGACAGGGAAACCTGTCTGGACAGAAAACAGAGTTACTATGTGAAGTTTATTATAGATGAAGTTATTCTTGAGAGGGAAGGACATAGAACTCTGGTATTTTGGACAAACCTCAAGTTTTAAAACTGTTAAATAGGAATAATCTCAATGTATAATTCTTAAACTGAAAGCCTTTCTTCTCCTTGTCCTTAGTGTTAAATTCTTGTCTTCTCCCCTTCTCATCCTACACTGTGAGGATGACAAGACGGTGCCTTTGGAGTTTGGAAAACAGGTAAAGAGCTCACTGCTGGCAGAAGCATGCTTTATGAACTTCACCCTTTTTTACCCTCAAACTCTGATGAGTATTTAGAATAGGGCCTCTTATATTATAGCAGATTCTCTATGTCTCTAAGTAGCCTGGTGTAAAAACTTCAATGTCGTGCTACTTAGCTCAGAGGAGGGTTGTGGGGTGCCTGGTTCCTTGTCTGGGGCCTGGGGGTCTGAAATTGTAGAGATCCTAGGCTGCCTTAGGAACTTCCATGTCCTGTACTAGCTCTGAAAATGGGGATGCAGTTGCTTTTCTTTTAAATGAATCCAGTGGATCTATAGTACTTTGTCACCCCCTTGCACCAAGGTACAGGCAGGGGGTGGTGTGGGGTTCCAGCAGTTCCATATTAGTTATGCAGCAGCTGAGGCTCCCAAACGGGATGTGGAGCCTCAACAATGTATTTTCCAGAGACATTTTAAACGTATTTTCCATTCACTTTGTTCAACCCATTGCAAGATTCATTGGAGAGGAGGTCTGAATGTTTCATGTTTGGTAAATCGTTGACTTACTGAGATTAACGCTCCACACTGGCTGTGTTCTCTTTTGGAAAATTAGAAAAACAATGGGTTTGACTGTCAGTCTTTGGGCCTCTGTCTTTCTGTCCTTTCCAGGTCTATGAAATTGCACATAATGCCTACAGGCACAAAGAGAGAGTCAAGATGGTGATCTTTCCTCCTGGCTTCCAACACAACTTTCTTTGTAAAAGCCCTGCACTGTTACCAGCTGTGAGGTAAGAATTGTTTTGCTAAAAATGATGATCTTTGCTATAAAGGCAATTAGGGCTTCTTTGGTTTATTTAGACCATAAGAATGTGAGCTGATTTAAATCCTTTTCCTGCAGAGATTTCCTGAGTAAGCAGTGGGCCTGAGGTCTGAAAGCAGCAGAACTCTTCATAGAAGATTGGTCCAAATACCACCTATGATATGCATTTTTAATGTAAAAAAGGAGCTGAAGTCACTGAGATTTCTATAAGTCACTTGCCATTTTAGTAAAGGAAAGGATGGCTGCTGGGCATTATGAAATGTTCTCATTTAGCTTATCATAGTCTACTTTCTGCTGAAACTTCATCATGCAGAGACAAAATATGGTAAAATTTGGATCTCAAAAATGTTTACCCAACATCCTAGGGATATTTGTGAATAGGCTGGTCTGTGATTTGGACTTAGACAACAACATAAGAAAGTGTTCCAATATTGTTAACAGTTTGTATTCTAGTTTAGTTCATTAAAATGACATTAAACATTCCAAGCAGTTTTCTAGATTTTTGAATAGCTTTGGAGAAAGTCCTAAAATGCTACTCAATCTGCTATAGAATAGTAAATTTTAGGAGCCTCCCTGGTGGTGCAAGGGGTCAAAACACAGCTCTGTGAAGCTATCTACAGCCACGCAGCAAGGTTCGATTCCCCCGCCAGAGAGCTGACCCACCTGACCTGATGGCTGCTCCCCTCAGCAGACGATCCACCTGTTCTGTTCCCCACTCTGGTGAATCCTCTCACCCCCTGTACCTCTGGCCTGGACCCCAGTTGTTGTATGCATAAATTAATAAATCTTTGAAAGTAAATAAATAAAATAGTAAATTTGGGCACTGATGCAATGTTTGGAAATTGGCACTTTATTCTTAGCCTTCATACAGTCATATTTTCCCTCTCTGTTCCCAGAGATTCTTAACTATAGGTTATTAGCTAACAAAACAAAAGCTAGAATGCCGTACAAATGTTCAAGTTCAGTAACAAGCTAATTTTTCTAGAGCCATTTTACAACCTACTTCCCATTTACTTTGTCCACCCCATTGCGAGATTCATTGGCTAGAGAAATCTTTAGGTCAGAAGGTTCCATGTTCCAGATGTCCTTGGCGTACTCCTTGATTGTCCGGTCACTGGAGAATTTGCCCGCGGCAGCTATATTTTTGAGTACCATCGTGTTCCAGGCCTTTAGATTCTGTAAACAACACAGAGACATATAGCCCAAGGCCTGGGTGTCCAGCAGGCTTTATGACAAATGTCAGGCCAAGCATGTCCAAGCACATTTCCTAGGGAAAACGACTCCTGCGAGTCATTTGCAGTGAATTATAAATTCATTTGTTTCACAGTTAAGAGACTCCTTTTTAGTATTTCTCTTCAGAAAAAAAAAAATTTTTTTTCATTGCAGAGAAACCATGATGCAAATTTCCTTGTTAATTTTTGCTGTGGTTATTATGGTTTAGTATGTGAGCCATCTTTCCTATACTTTATTCTAAATGAAGATACCTCATCTCTCTTTAAAGTATTGGGGGAAGGAAGGAACTAACTAACATGCATTGTCTGCTAGAGGCTAAGTCAAGGGCGTTAAGCTCACAGTCAGGTTTGGAGAACATTATTTAAAAGGTTAGCACTACAGAGGTAATCAGTCCCAAGGGAGGCTAGTGACCTACTTCTCGTGTTCCTCCTGAGGGTAAGAAGCCCCTGTAGGTTTATCCTGAATTCCCAAGGTCTTCATTGGATTTTCAAAACAGGATCAATTAAAGCTTCATCCGTTACAAGAGTATATTATCCAAATTTTACAGTTTTTTATGTAAATGTACTTAAATCACCTACTTTAAAGCTTCCTGATTTTATAAAATATTCTAAAAGTTTATTGGAAATGACCAGATAGTATTCAAAACCACTAGCAATGTATTATAAGGATTTAAGAGAAAAACCAAAACCATCATAATTTCTTAAGGTATTGTTGAACAGAGCCTGATGTTGTTTAGACTTTGGAAACTTATTACAATAAGAGGAGTGTAAAATCTTCTCTTCACTTTCTCCATTTAAATGGTTAATGAATAGACTTCCCAGCTATGTGGGACACATTTCTAAGCCTTAACAATGCAATCATTATTTTTATTCCCTTGGGGCAGGAACTGAGGTCTGGCTCACCCCCAGCCTTATATCTCAAATATAATAAAACTCATTAAATGTCTGTTGAAGGAGTCACTGAATACAAATTCATCTTCCATATTGTATTCTCTGTGTACCAATAATACAATTATCATTAAAGAGTGAAAACTACAATTTGTACTAATGAGCAAGAAAGTCTGAGCCAAATGCTGGGCCTTTTTTTTTGGGCAGCTTTGGATCTGGGCCACCATTTTAACAGAGAAGACCTATTGTGCAAAACTGACATTTTTCCTTTTTAATATTTTCCTTTCCTGCTCTGTTTTATTTGTATTTCTTTCCCTCTGTGACCTTTCTACATGTATGGGCTGGGATCAAGAGGAAAGAGCCAGAGGTGGTCTCCTGTCCTCTGTCTGAGTTCTGGGAGGTCATTCAAGGCTCCTCTTTGCAGTATCTGGAAACAGGTGGGGAGCCAGTGAGCGGGACTCTCCTACAGCCCTTTCTCGCTCTGACCAGCTGCTTGAACTTAGACACTTCAAGCAGACACTTCTGGGGGACTGGACATTTTTCCACCGAACCATAAAGTTTGCAAAGCAGCATGGGTCTTGAATGGCCCTATTTTTGAAACCCTGATGTAACATCCAGGATGACAGTGGGGATTACAGTCGCTGCTTTGGGAAGAGCAAGCAGTGTTGGTGCAGTGTTTTTCCACCGGAAAACACTGACTGATTTTATCCATAGGGCAGGAGGAGGAGATTTTATGGAACCCCACTGTTCTGCTATATACATAATGACTTTCTGGTTGGAGGGCAAAAAGGACAGCCTGTGTGGGCAAGGGCAACGATTCTCACAAGACCTCAAGGACATGGACCCCCAAGAAACACACCCTGGAATCTGGGTGCAGAGCCAGCCTTCTGTGTCTGCTCTGTGGTGTTGCGATTTCTCAAAGTCTTTCTTATCAGAGATGAACCACCTTTCCATATATTTATTAACTGTGCCTAGAGGGCTGGGCTATTTGACAATATTTACATAGCTGTAGGAGCGGGTGTAGTCTCTCGTTGCTTTAAAATTCAAATATGAACACCCCTTCTTTCTGAACGTTTTACTTTAGTCCTATAGTCCTCTCCATGGGTAGTCTAGGAGAGATACTTATTTTGCAATTTTTGAAGACTAGATCGTTAGTCCTTATCCCAACAACTTGAGGCTTAGCATTACAATTATTTTAGCAGGTTTTTCAAAAACTGATGATGATGGTACTTGTTACTGGGTCTGAATATCAAAGAGAGGGGAAGACATCTGTACCCTGACAACACTACTTTGGCTATTCTGATATGTGTTTCTGGTTAAGACCTCTGGGACAAACTGACTCTTTCATGGGAGGGAGGGAGGGAACCTTTATTTTATTTCTGTGACCAGCATAGACCCTGCCCAAGGGCTTCTCTGTCAAATAAATGAGGGAATAAAATGAATATTTAATTTAACTTTATAGCTTTATCTTTCAGAACATGCCTACTATATGGTCAGTGCTCAATAAATATTGAATTATTTGTGATTTTTTTCCCGTTGGATATTAAAACATTGACAACTGTTATTGAAATGTCAACCTGAACTTGGAGAAAAGACAAGTTTTGATCTGAGTAGCCTAGAAAATTGCTTTACTTCTTTTTTAGTTAGTTAGTGGGGCCCTATAATTTAGTTTGAATAAAAAGAAAAATTTTTAGTAGTAATAGGAAATTGGCTCCCTTTATGAGTATTGGCAATATACTCACCATATATACCTGGCTGACTTTATCTTGACACTTGACATAGGCTTCATAGTCTGCAAAGACTTTAAATCTGTATATTTGTGATTGGAAGGAAAAAAACAATAAATAACTTCACTAATAGATGTGTGCTGAGTCCATTTAAAATTCTCTTTTGCTTAATGTTAGGCATGGCTGGCTTAGCATTTCTATTCCCAAGAACTTTACTTGGCCCTCAACCATTCTATGCCTCTTCCCTTACCGCAATGCTGCCACCATATGACTGCAGTTGACAGCTGGGCACACCAGTGGAAGGAGAAAAAGATATCTGACTCCTGAGATTTATTCTTAAATCTGTTTAACATTTCTAATAGAAAATTTTAGAACATCTCTAATATTCAATTTTTCTTATTCAAGTTTAATATTCAAGTTTAGTTTGGCTTATCATATTACAGACCTGTGCATTTCTCTGTGGTTGGCTTTGAGCTGATTTAAGGTGTCCTGTTCCCTTTTCAAAGCCTAAACAGCACTGGCTTTTTGTGGGAACTTACCTGTCATGATAAAATAGCATGTTGACTAAGTCTTTGAATAGGCCAGGCTGCTTTGGAGAAAAGAAGCCATTGTCAATTTGATCAACTGCCAACTTTAGTTCTGGAAGTGCCTCATAGTATTCTTTTGCCTTATATCTGTGGTGAGGAGTTGGAGATAAGAAAAAAAAAAAAAAGGCTCTGTTAATGTTTATGATTAACCAACACACTAGACATTATTTTAGTTGTAAAAAGATGCATTCAGAAATACTCGCATTTGTAGCAATCATTGCTGAGTTCAACATGGGTATAAATACTTGATTAGATCCTAACATTCCCCTACCACCAAATTTGGTTAATTTCTTTTAACTGAAGATAATAAGAACAGCAGATAATAAAAACTATAGTCAGGGGGCAGTTGTCTAATCTGGAAGAAAACAGTAAGATTCATCTCAACGCAGACTCAATGGCTGTAAAGAGTCCCAAATGCATTGTATTGGGTGAAAATTTACTCCCAAAGTCCAGCAAATATATGACACCCTGTAAATTTTGTGGTCTTCCTAGTCTTGGGAGCAGTGCTCTTTCTTTTCTTATATGAGTTCAGATGAATAAATCAGAGTAGATATTTAGTGAAGGAAACAAGTGTTCCTGGTGCCTCTGCACCTACCTTCTACTACAGTTTAATCCATCTCTTTGTGATCATAAAGGAACACTACATGGTTTAAATTATAGGCAAAAACTGAC